TATGTCTCTTCTCTTCGAATGCTCTAATATTAATCATTCTTTTCAATTTTTCAAAAAAAAAAAAAATAAAAAAAAATAATAATAAAATAATAATATAATAACAACCTCCACAACAATAACAGATGAATTTATCAAAGAAAGTAAAAATGAAAAAAGAAATGTAAGTAAATCAATAAATATACAAAAAACAACATTAATTTGTACTAATATAATTTTAAATCTACTTTTACTTTTTTTTTTTTGATATTCATAGAATCATGCCAAAAATAGAACAGGAAGAATCGACAACAGACCAAAAATTAATGTCAACAATAACAGTAACAATACCAAAAGATTCATTGGCTCACCAAAAGTTAAAAAGACTCTTTCAGCTTCACCAATGAAGTAATTATTAATCAACCAAATTTCCATACCCCTTATAAAAATAATTCCCACTAACTTTTTTCATATTTATATTTTTTTTTTTTAGACCAACAAATAGACTTGTTAGTCCAGATAAAATTAAAATCCAAATCCAAAACAACAAAGCCAAACCATTACCAAAACCAATCAGTATTCGTTCAAAAATAAGAGTTAATCAATCAAGAACCACCAGAGCACCAACTAGAACAACCAACTCTACTAGAACCAACTCTAGTAGAACCAACTCCACCAGAACAAACTCCACTAGAACTAACTCCACTAGAACCGTTACTAATGCTTCAAACAGAGCACCAAGAGTAGTTAAACATTATGAAAAATCAATCACTTTAAATGATAGATTCAGCAAGAAATAAGGAATTAATTATATAATCATTGTGCACACATTACAATTTTTCTTCCTTTTTTCAATTTTTTTCATACCCATATATCTCTTTCAATCAAAACACTTGTATAAAATAAATAAAATAAAAAAAAAAAACTTTAAATAAATTTGTATTGGAATTTTTATATTCTGTTTGTATCTTTCAAAAAAAAAAAATAAAAAAGTAATAATAATGAAAAAACTCCGAGAACATCCGTCTTTAAAAAAAAAGAAAACAAAAAAAAAAAAACAACATAATCTTTCAAATTATTAATTTTTTTATTTCTCTCCACTAAGGGTCATCTCCATGAAATAAAATAAAAAATTATAAATAATTGTTTATCTTATTTAGTTTTACTATGATTTTTGACTAAAAAAAAAAATAAATATTAGGAGAAACAAATAATTTTAATTTTAATTTTAATTTTTTTTTATTTTTTATTTTTTTCCCAAAAAAAAAATAATAGTATGGGTAACAACTCATATAAAAATTTCGATACAAATTTTCAATTTTTTGAATAAAATTTTTGAAATTTTTTTTTTTTTTTGCGCGAGACTCACAAAAACGTTTTTGATAATATAATTCTCCCTTTTTAGCCTTAACTTTAGACCTTTGGTATGTGGATACTAGATATGACAATAAAAAAAAATATAATAGGATAGCTATGATAGTGGATTGATAGAAATATCTCGAATCCTAGATTAAAGATAGTAGATTTTTAGAAAGATTGACTACATACATTGATAGGATATGATAGATAATAATAGATATATAGAAACAAAGTTATGAATGTTAAAATATTAATTATATATTCAATAAATTTTAGACAACCAAAATGCTTAACAAGAAAATCATCAAACCAGCTGGTAAAGTTGCCACTGAATTCGAAAACACTGTTGCTCAAGCATTAGTCGATTTGGAAAACAACAACACCGAATTAAAAGACTTAAAAGATTTATCAGTCTGTTCAGTCAAGGAAGTCGATGTTGCTGAATCTAAAAAAGCTGTTGTCATCTTTGTTCCATTCCGTCAACTCAAAAACTACAACAAAATCCAACAAAAATTAACCTATGAAGTTGAAAAGAAACTCGGTGGTAAACAAGTTATGTTCATTGCCCAAAGACGTATCATCCGTAAACCAGCTACCAACAACAAGATTAAAATGCAAAAGAGACCAATCTCTCGTACCATTAAAGCTGTCCACGATGCTATCCTCGATGATTTAGTATTCCCAAATACTATTGTTGGTCGTCGTTTAAGATACAGATTAGATGGTTCAAAACTCCACAAAATCTACTTAGATCGTAAAGAAATGTTATCAAACATCTCTAAAGTCGACTCATTCTCTGCTGTCTACCACAAATTAACCGGTAAGGAAGTTGTCTTCGAATTCACCCAACAAACCGCTGAAAACTAAATAAAAAAAAACTATTTTTTTAAAACACCCTTAAAACTATTATTTTTTATTATTATTTTTTGAGGTTTAAAATAAATGAATTACAGAATCTCCTATTAATTTTGGATTTTCTTTTATTTTATTTATAATTGTTTGGTTGTTTTTTGAGATATAAATAATTAATGATCTTCTACCTAATGGGAATTCAATATCAATATTATCTGATTTTAAATATAAGTAACCTAAACATCTGGGTAATAATGAATTTGTAATAGTTTGATAGAATGACTTTGGTAAGAATAAGGAGTATAGTTTTGGAGGTAGATCTTTGATTGAAATTGCTTGAGAGAAATTTTCACCAAATTTAAGAGTTTTGATTGATTTACATCTCGATAAATTAGATAGGTCTGAAAAACCTTTACAATTTAAAGATATATAACGGATGTTCAAGTATGTTAAATCTGGTAAAAGTTCAACTTTAAATCGTTCGCCAAGTATTAATTTAGATATCCAATGTGGTATGAATAGTTTTTCATGAGCTTTATTAATTTGTAATGTTTTATTGGTGGAGGTAGTTGATGATACCTTTACATATGGCGGTAGCGAGTTATATGGTATTAATTTTGAATAGTTTTCTTTGAATTCAATTTCTCTAACATTATTTGGAATTGAATTTTTTTTTAATTTTAAATTGAAATCTCTTGAAAGTTTAATTGATTTTAAAGTTTTTGGTAAATCAGATAGTTTTTTATTAAATGTATAGCCGAAATCAATAAATTCTAAACAAGAATTCTTTGGAAAAATTGATTGATAACCAATATTATTATTATTGGTGGTAGTATTATTATTATTATAGGTTTTAATTTTTAATGGGTGATTAAAATAATTTGGTAATTTTAATCTTTTAATTGTTGGTGGTATAAAATTAAATGGAACCATTGGATTTAGAATATGAGATTCTAATATTAAAGTTTTTATAAATGGTTGTATGAAAAATGTATTTTCTTTCTTTGATATTGGTAAATGTTGATAGGTTTTATATTCAATTGTTAATTCCTCAACTGTATGAGGTAGATATGATAGTTTTTCAATTATATCCTTTGAACTGTTTCCAATTATTTTAACTTTTTTTAAAAAGAATCTTTTTTCATCCTCTGCATATGAATCATTAACATACACTATTGAAGAGTTTTCGAATGCTTTAAATTTTTTAATATTTTCTAAAATTTCATTCCTAACTATTACATTTCTCCATAATTTGAAAAATAATTTATTTGAATTATCTAAATCATAGTTATTATTGTTTTCAATCCTAAAATAATTATAGTGTATTACCATTCTTATTTATTTTCACTTTAATTTTTTTAGTTATGAAATGAGAAGTGAAAATAAAAAACAAAACCAAAAAAAAAAATATAAAAAAAAAAAATTTAAAAAAAAAAAATTAATAATAAAAAGAGGTGGAAAGTTTTGGGAATTTTTTTTTTTCTTTTTTTTTAATTATTTATTTTTTAAACTAAAATTATTTAAACACACATAAACAAACATAGCGATATTCTCTCTGTGTAAAGTGGGTGAGTGTATTTTTTTTTTTTTTTTTTTTTTTTTTTTTTATGACATTAAATTTTTTTAAAATTTAGTTATTATACATGTATGTGTGTATTTTTTAAAGAGATTGTTTTTGATGTTATGTATTGGATATAGTAATAATAATAATTCACTTTATAATCTTTTTAAACTTTTCTTTGGTTGTGCTTTTGTAGTTGTTGAAGTTGTAGTTTCAGTTTTCTTTTTAACTGGAGATGAAGTTGAAGCTGTTGTTATTGATGGTGTACTAGTTGTAGATGTTGGTGTGGCTGTATTTTCACTATTATTATTATTATTATTATTATTATTGATATCAACGATTGGTTTTGATGCATGAATGGATGTAAATAATTTTGCATGCTTACAATAATCCTCATAATTTTCTAAAAGTAATCTTGATGCATCTTCATTTAATGATGATTCAGCATTTGGCACGATTAATAAACATTTAATCGTCTAATAATAATAAATAGTAATAAATATTAAGATATTAATAATAGTTTTTAATTGTATAGTTTTTTTTTTTTTTTTTTTTTTTTTTTTCAAAAAATTAATAACATTACTAATAGAATATGTTTTAAACCTAAATCTTCAGCCCAATCTTTTTTTAAAGTGTTCACACAAATTTCACCTTTTTTTGAAACATTTGGATGAAATATTTTGGTGATAAAGTTTGCTTTGGGGGGTGATCTTGGGAAATCAGAGGAGAGAATTAATCTTGCTTTAAAATAACCACCTTCATATGGTGTACCAGCTGGCCCTGTAACTACTGCTTCAATGTTTGTTATATCCTCTTCACATGGTAATAATGTAATACCTTCTAATGTTGATGAATTTAATTCTTTTAATTCCTTAACTACTCTTTTAATAACATCTGGTGGAAGATTTTCACTTGACATTTTATTTATTTATATGTTTTTATTTATCTTTTTATAATTGTTTATTATTTATATAATTTATTCTTTGTTTTATTTTTCAATTAGGTTGCAAAATGTTTTTGAAAAAAAAAAAAAAAATTTTAAAACCCTTTTTTTTTTTTTCAAAATTTTAAAAAAAAAGGCGCCTTCACCTTTTTTGTTATAAATTTTTTTTAATTATTTGTGTTTTTTTTTTTTTTTTTTATTATTTGTGTTTCTTTATTTTTTTTTTATTTTTTATTTTCATTTTAGAATATATAAAAGGTTTTTTTTAGTTACTTTTTTTTTTAGAAAATAAAAAGTGGGCGATTTATTTAGTCAGATTTGTGCGAACACGGACAGTTAATTTCAAAGCCTACGAATTAACGCTGGCTCAACAGACGATCAGATAAGTGCAACCAATCATCATTTAAATTTCATCCCTAACAAAAAAATAAAAATTTTAAAAAATCTCAAAATATTATTTCTATAAAAGAATCATTTTTTTCCTATCCTTTTTTATTATGGGTTCAAAATTAGTAAAAAACGAAAAAAAAAACGAGTTTTTATTTTTTTTTTTTTAATTTTTTTTTTTTGTTTTTTGTTTTACAAAGAGATTTCGTTGGGGATAGGTTTTAATATAATGAAAAGTGATTTAAATACATGCAGTTGGGGGTTATAATTTATTTTTTTTAAAAAAAATATAGAATTTTAATTATTTATTGTGGTAATGAAATTGTTGGAAAAGTTTTTTTAAAAGGCACATTTTCTCAAAATCAATAACATTCCCCAAACCTTTGATACATCATCGGAAATAATAAATGAAGAACAATACTTTGAGGTTGGTAATATTGTAGGTTGGAATAAAGAGATCGGAAGTCAATATAGCACATCGATGGTGGTACAAATTGGAGATTATTTTGTTCATACAATGCTCTAGTTGCATCATCAATTTGAGGTGGATTTAAAATTTGTTCTAATGTAAAATAGTTTCTTTATTAATATCTTTTAATTGTTCATTTGTGATATTATCATAATCTGAAATACCAGCAGTACTTGAGTAGAGTATTATAGTTATATCTCTGGAAATTGATTACTTATTTATATTTTGCACTGCCATCATTGAATTTTATGTTAATCTTTTCAATTAATTTAAATGCACCAGGAATATTAGATGTGTCTCTAATTGCTTCAACTACAGATAATTCATTTTTATTATTACCTGGATCCAACTATAAATCTATGTGAATCATTAACTAATTATTGATATTATTAATTGGTTTATAGTTTGAAATGATGTCTACATCTGTATAATCATTCCCATTCTATCTTGGGTGATGATGATTCGGTAACTAAATCACAATCAATTTCTTTAAAAAGTTTTTCTAATCTATTTTATTTTATTTTATTTTTTTTAGTATAATTTTTTGAATTTTTTATATTTTTTATATTTTATATTACGGGTTATCGTGATTGTTTTAAAATTTTTGGTTCAATCAGATCTTAAAGAGTTGAGATTGTTTTATAGGAAAAAAAAAAAAAAAAAAAAAAGAAAAAAAAAAACTTTTTAAAATTTTTTAGATATTTATTATTATTATTATTATTATTAATTAAATGTTGTTGTTTTTAACAAACAATTCTTTGTTTCTTCTTTAAAATTAACTTTACTGAATCTAAATTACCAGAAGATTTAATTACAGATGATAACTTTGCAGATTCAAATAATACTGTGCCAGTATCTTTGGTGATATTCCAATCATTAGTGTTCATCTCGGGATCAATCTCATTGATAAGTTTACACTTTAAATCAGATATTGATTCATTTTCAAAGGATTCAATTTCAAATGTAGTTAAAACAGTACCAATTAGATCTGGAACTACATCAACCATTACATTGATTCTTTTGTTTGATGGTGTTGATGTTTCACTACTGACAGAGTCTGGCGATCGGATTGTTGTTGTTGAATGAGTTTGTTGTGGTGATTTAAAGAGTATAGGGGATTGGGAATAAGAGGACTCAAAAAATAAAGAAGAGGTTTGATTTTTGGAAGGAGTTTGATAACTATCAGTACCATCATCCTTAATTGATAAATTTGAGATACCTTTAATTCTGTTGATTGAATCTCTTTCATTTTTTATTTTACATAGTTGAACTGCTTTAGTCAATAATCTAAGATATTGAACATCTTTGGAGATATCTTTATGAGTTTCCTTTTCTGTGTAATTATTGATGATGAATGTATTACACTCTTGAACAGATAATAATCGGACTTTAGCTCCCATTATTTCTTTAAGCTGATTCTTTGAGAGAACATCAGTGAAAGTGATAGCTAACAAAGGTGTAATACCCAAATCGATGACCTCTCTAACCTTTTTTTCGATTCTTTCAATTGAAGAGTCTTGGGCAAAATTTCTAATCGATACGACAAAGACGAAGCAATCGATACGATAACGGTCTTCTGGTTGAAGGATTGAACACTCACCCTTTTTAGCACCATGATGAACTCTTCCCTCGGCCTTAAATTTCAATACCACATCAGAATCGACGAAACCCCATGCATCAGACCAAGCGATATCAATATCACAGAAAGACTCTTGAACTGGGTGAATGTAATGTTTGGATGATAGAATCTCTTTGAGCGAGATATTGTTGATTTTAGTTGTTACGTGAGAACCACTTGAACAATTGGCATTGAAATATTCCTCCAATTCATCACCTGGATTGAAAAGATTGACGAAACCATTCAAACATGTGCTTTTACCATTACCAATTTCACCCTCGACACCGATACAACATCTATACTTTGATTTTAATTCACCCAAAAAGTAGGAGATATTCAAAGAGATTGAGCCTTGGTGAATGTTACTTTTATCATTTGGTAGTTCTATTGTGAAATTAATTTTTGAAGGAAAGTTTTCGAATTGAACTTTCTCAACTTGACCTCTTCTAAACTCCAATCTTATGGTTTCTTCATATGGTTCACCAAAAACCAAGTTTTGTTTCAATTGAAAAGTGTAACCAGAGTAATATTTGTTTGGTAAGAAATTAATTTTTGTACCAGCTGGAGCCGATGATGTATTTCCATCTGGTTTAACTACTATGTCTAATACTAAATCTTCCTTAATTGATTTGGTTTCATTTGAGTGTGGATAAACTTCAATGTTTATTGGACAATTAGTAGAGTGATGATTGCCCAATTCACTATTACAACCTACACCATCGCTCATTAATAATTTAATATCTTGAGTTGGATTCTTTCCTAATGGGATCACTTTTTGATCTGGTAAAAGTGATTGTAAATCTTTTAATGCTTCATCTGGATTGGTTGAACAACCACCTGCCAAACCATAGATTTCATTGTTTTCTAAACTTAAGATATCTACCAAATCATCACTTGAATCATCGGTTGATTGACCTGAACTTATGACAATAATCTTTGACACTAAATCACTGGACCAATCTGATTCAATATTTTTGAAACACATATTTAATGCTTCACCTAATTTTGCCTCATCATTATCCTTTGAGAATTTAATATCCTTTAAGTTTCCTTTGAGTTCATTTGGCTCAGAGCTAAACTCTGATATTGTGCTTACACTATCACCATAGGTAATAATTTGAATTTTGCAACCCCTATTGGACTTTTGAAGTTGAACGATGAATGTCTTGATAATTACATTGTACAATGCCATTCTTGATGATGTTTCAACTAAAATTGAAAAATATGTAACACCGCAATCTGAGGTGTAATCGGTTTTAATCTCAGTTTTAAGTGCATGTCTTTGAATATTTTGAATTTCTGTAAACATTTTCTTTGAATTTTCTTTTCTTTTTTTTTTTTTTTTTTTATAGATTATAGGTATAGATAAATAGTTTTATTTGATTTATTTGATTTATTTATTTGTTGTGATGAAATGAAAAAAAAAAAAAAAAAAAAATCCTAATTTATATTAAATATTTCATTGGTGTACAAATGAAAGGATTTACATTTTTAAGAAATTAATTTATGTTTCAAACTTTGGAGTTGAAATAATAAAAAAACTTAAAATTTCAATTTTTTAAAAAAAAAAAAAAAAAAATAATAGTAAAAAAAAAAAAAAATAATAATAATGATTTTAAATTTTATTTTCTTAAAATTTTAATGGCCAATTAAATTTAATTTTATTCCAAATTTTTTTTTTTTTTTTTTTTTTTATATGAAATTTTGTAGTTTTTTTTTTTTGTTGTACTTAGTTTTTTAATTTTTTTTTTTTGGTCAATGATTAAAATTTATTAATGACTTCATTAATTTATCATTATGAAAAAAAAAAAAAAAAATCTCCTTTTGAAAAGTTAATATGAGAACTATGATAAATATTGATTTTTTCATAACCATCTCTACCAATAATAATTTTAAAAATTATTTTTAGGATAGTGTATTTTTGGGAAAAAATATTTTATCAACATAGTGCGCACTCCTCTCAAAAAATATTTTAATACATATTAAAATATATAATTTAAATATTATATATATATATATATAAAATTTTATATTTATTTATTATTTATTTTTTTCTGGCTATCAAAAAAGATATTTATCGAATTCGCCATAAAACGAGTGGTGTAATATTATAAAAGCCATACTAATAATAACAAAACCAAACGAAGCCACTTTAAAATTGAACTGAGTTTTGGTAATTTTGTTCTTGATTCGCAAAGCGATAAAAAAAAAAAAAAAAAAAAAAAAAGAAAATTAAAAATTAAAAATTAAAAAAATTAAAGTAATGAGAAAGTGAAATTAACTTTTATTTATCACCTCACCAACCAAAACACCACAGCAAAATGGTTTTATTCGAAAGTTTTTCTTTTTCTTTAAAAAAAAAAAGATTTTTTTTTTTTTTTTATAATGAAAAGCTCCAGGCACTTGATATTTTCAAATAAGTATTAAAAAAAAAAAAAAAAAAATAAAAATAAAAAAATAAAAAAAATAAAATAAAAAAAAAATATTAATAAAATAAAATTTTAATTTTTTTTTTTTTAAAATTTTTTTTTTTTTTTTTTTTTTTTTTTTTTTTTTGAAAAAACGAACGAAACAAATTTTAGTTTCATCATAATTAATTAATCCTCGTCGTCACATGGTTGTTATAACATCACACTTTTATTCAAATAAATTACAAATAAATTAAAAAAAACAAGAAAAAAAGGAAAATAAAGGTAATTATTTTGAACTATTATGAACAAATATTCAGTGTGTTTTTTTTTTTTAATTTTTTAATTTTTAATTTTTAATTTTTTTTAATTTTTTTATTTTTTTTATTTTTTATTTTATTTTATTTTTATTTTTTTACCAATAACGAACGCTCCCACTTTAATTTTTTTTTTTTTATTTTTTTTTTTTTTTTTAAAAATTTTAATTTTAATTTAATTTAATATAACATCACTCTTTTTTTT